TCGACACGGGTCAGTCCGCAGCCCCAGCCCGGCCCCGCCTGAGGGAAGGGCTTGGTGGGCGCGACGGGGCCGGTGGACGCGGAGCGGCGGGTGTCCGGTAGGTGCTGGAAGTGTCCGGAGGCCTTTTAGGTTGCCCCGGCCTTGGGAAGGTGGCGGCATGTCGCGCCTGGYAGGCCAGACGCTTGGCCGGCATCCGCAGCGGGGCCGGCCTCTCCCTGGCGGGCCTGGGCTCTCCGCCCCACCCCGGGGGCAGCCGGGCACCGCTCACCGCTGGTAGCTGCGGCGGCGGCCGGATGGCACCGGGGACGTGTGATGAGGGTGGGGAGAAACGAGTTCTTGCGGGCCAGCCTCGTGGGGCTGCGGCGATCCGCGGCAGCTGGGTTCCCCTCGCAGCTGGTGCCGGTCGCAGGCCCCACAGGACTCTGCGGGGAAGGCCGGGCGGTTTGCCACTCCGGGGCACGAGGCCAGTAAAGCTCCAGGGACTTCGGCAGGGACAGTTCCATGGCAGCGCAGCTGAAGACGAGGTGGCTGTCGGCTCCAGGTCTGTTCTCAGATCCTGCTCCAAAACACGACGCTGTTGGAACAGACACTCAGATCAGCCGTTTGCTGACTGGTAGATTTATTTCTGCAGATGTCCCCTGGAAGAACAGTGTATAATCTTTTCATATGACRGAATGAGGTGTGGTGAGAGGTTTTGGGAATTAATCTTTGACTCTCCTGCTTTCCTAGTCTGRCATTCAGGGACACAGGGAGATGCCGTTGAAACCATTCACCTATCCATTGCCTGAAACAAGATTTCTTCATGCTGGCAGGCATGTGTACAAGTTTAAAATCCGGTATGGCAACTTCGTCAGGTATGTGTGTTCAAGCCGAGAAGCCAGCCTGCAGTTTGTTGACTGCATGTGGCAATGAGTTAATACAAGACCTTAAATTCAGATCTTGAGGGCTCCTCATGCTCTGCTTATTTTTCACTGACCAAGAAAGTGCTCATCTAAAATTTGCTGCTGCACTTTCACATGATGAGTAATTAAAGCTGTAGCAAATGAGGCACGGTAAAGACCACACAACTAAGCAAAATTGTAGGGGAGTGTTTATTTGCAGTGCTAGGTAGCAAGAGGTCACTCTCTAAAGACACTTATGCCTTTACAGTACAACTCTTTGGTTTATATGAAGTTATTGGATACATATGCATTGGGTTTCACAATACGCCTATACATATTCATCACCTGTCCCTGCTTCCTATGCTAATAAGTCTGCATGTGTTTATGCATGTATCTTGTCCCTTGGCAGTGGTCTTCAGGTGATGAAGTACCTGAGTAGTCTACCTCAGGGCGGGACCTGACCTTTGGTTCTTGCACATGCTTTCTGGCTCCTTGATATCAGTCCAAACTTCTGGACTGGCTTTTACTGGTTTGAGGGTCCAAAGAATAGCACTCAGTTCTGCATGCTTCCTTCTTACAATATCTTACCAATATGATTAATGACATCTTTATTGAACTTGTGTTTCCCTAAGCAGTACGATGTATATTGAGTTCCAGCAGAGTTAGCTAACTTAAGCAGTTACTATTAACTCCTTGGTCCCCTATATCAGCAAAGTCTCTGGTTTCTCTATCTTGTGTGAATTTTATGCTTTGGTGGAAAAGAGTCACTTTTTGCAGACAGTATTTTGAAATTCTGTAAAGTCTTTAACTGAGAAGCTTTAGAACCTTTGTAATGGTGTAATGCTATATAGCAACTGTGCTTCACACAGCTTGCTCACTGCAGTGGAATGAGGGAGAGAACTGGAAGGGTAAAAGTGTAAAAGTAAAACCTGTGTATTAAGATAAAGTCAATTCCATAAGTAAAGGAAAAGACACATGTAAGCAAAGAGGGATAGTGAGTTGAGTTCATTCACTGCTTTCCGTGGGCAGGCTGGTGTTTAATCTTTAGAAAAGCAGGGCTTTGTCATGCATAATGCTTCCTTGGGAAGACATTTGCCATGATGGTCCCCCTGCATTGTTCTTCCTTGTGTTTTATTCCTGAACATGACATCCTAGGGTCTGGAATATCCCTTGGGTCAGCTGTAGTTAACCATCCCATCCTTGTTCCCTCCCAACTTAATGTGCACTCCCAGCCTGCTCACTTGGTGGGATTGTGTGAGGAGCAGAAAAGCCCTTGGTGCTGGGTAAGTACTGCTAAGCAGTAACTAAAGCATCTATGTGTTACCAACACTGTTTTCAGTACAAATCCAAAACATGGACWCATGCAAGCTGCTATGGAGAAATYTGACTTYTATCGCAGTCAAAACCAGCTCTATRTGCTATGTACTTACTCCTTGATGTTACCAATGTGCCTTTTGCTGGCAGTGCAAAGTAGTGCTGGCAGTTCCAGTAGTCTGGAACTACCACAGTTGGTGTGTGGGAAGAGTGTTTTGAAGCGCTCTCACTGGCTKCTGGCAAAAGATGTTTGTTATGATCTTGTGACTTTTTTCCTAAGGTTCCCTTTCCTTTTTTTGGTACTRCTATTTCAGATGATTTTGCAACAAGCCTGCCCTGTTTTGAAACAACAGCATGCAGGCAKAGGGGCTGAGCAGGCCTTCAYGTRTAACTGCCTCTCTCAGTTTCTAGAARGCACTGTCGGGGCAAGACTGAGAAATGAGAGAGAAAGGACAGTGCTTTCATGTAAGGAAGAGAAAAGCAAACAGCCTTTGGAGATGTGGGAGCCAATGARCAGGGCAACTGTSAGAGGTAGCAGTTGTGRTAAGCCTCAAGTAGGAGCTTCTAGTTAGTAGCTAGCAAAGTAACTAAAGCACTGAGTAGTCTGCTCAGATGATGAAGATGTAGAGCAAGAAAAGAGAATGTTCTGCTAGCAGTGAAAAAAAAAAGATTTTCCCAAAGAGTGTTGCTATGGAGCAATTAGCTCATWTCTGCTGGTCATACACAGAGATGATGGGCAAATGCTTTTGTGAGTGCGCATTACCATGATCAGCTCATACAAGGARCTCTGGAGCTTTTAGTTTGAGAGGGTACTGAGAATCCTGGAGGAGACAAGCTGCTCAGGTGTAAGTACAGTGCCTCAAACCAGGTGCTTATAGACGGTATCCTGCTGAAGGAGGCTGTAGTACTCAAACGTACTCTGTAGGTTTGTGGTTTGYTGCTGTCTCAGCATCTGATAAACCATCACTAATGATAGTATTCTTAAATATTAATAAAAATGCCCAAGGCTGTGACTCAGCATATCTGGCTCGGCTCCTTGTGCACGCCCTTCAAGGCTGTGATGAGCAGAAGATCAAAGTGGWTGCCTTCAAAGACTTTTGAAAAGTCTTTTAAACTGTTGAGGTTAAGTTTCTTTTCAGATGGTAGCAAACTTGGAAAGGATCCTTTTGGGCTATCAATTATCCCTGCATTAGAGAAACAGAAGAGTGTTGTGCCACCCCAAAACCCCTCTTTTCAAGTTGGTGAGGTTCCATCAGGACTAAAATGCCAAAGCCARGGACTCAAGCCTATAGAGTGGTTTTGTGAGTGCAAGTGAATGTCCTTTTGCAGTCACAGTTGCACAGATGTCACCAGCGCCTTGGTTCCCTYTGTTGCTGGCYGYTGTTGSTGCACAAGAGTGGACAAGAAGGTTCTATGAATATCATACCAGTTAAGAAGGCTCRGGGCTTGAAGCTACATTTGATGTCATGACACACTTGTCTTCTTTTTTCTTTGTGAAGTATGCTGGCTCTTTGGAATTCTGCTGCATGACTTTATTTTAGGACGAATTGAAATACAGTTGTTTCTTTTTCTCATTAACATTTTGCTGGAATAGTGTCAGATCCAGGAGGATTAACCTTTCTTSTTTTATTTTTGGTGTTGATTTTGGAGAGGAGTGTGTGTTGTCCGTCTTGTGCWGTTGCAGTGTTCAGAAGTTCCTTGAAGTGTTGCTCTTGTCTGTGACTAAACTCTTTGTGCCAGCAAAACTTCCTTTGGAAGGCACTGCCAGCGTGTGGGTGCATCACTGGACAGCCTGTGGGTGTTTGATCTCCTGATGGAATCTCCAGATCTCCAAGAGAGCTGTGCATTGGTTTGAAACTGGGATTCTGTCATTGTCCATGTGCCCCATGGTTTGTGGGCATTGCAACATCAGTTCTTGCAGTTCATTGCTRTACTTGAGGGAAGAGGACRTGGGACTTTCACAGCATATTTTGTGTTTCATGRTAACTTGTGGGATTGGCAGTGAGCTCAAGTTGGTATTCATATCAGCATGATCAAACATGGCAAAAGCAACTCCTTTTACAGGGAAACCTCCTGAAACTCTCCCCCTTCATGTCATGGTTGTGGTGAATAGGGGATACTTGTTCAAAGCATCTGGATTCACTCCCAATTCACAAGAGAGAGGAGGGGTGTAAGTCCTAAGTGCATACATAGCCTTGAGCCCAAAGGAGTACCATCTRTCACCTGTAGATCTGGGAAGTGAAACTCCTTTTTTGCCCAAAATAAGATGGTAACCAATCTGAGGACAGGTTTCCCAAAGAACATTGAAAGTTGCAAAAGCTGATCCCAGCTGATGATAGACCTGATAACCTACCTTTCAGCAGGCTTTTGATAGAGTAAGGCCATCTTCACTGAAGGTCTTCTCCTAAATCCCTAGAGAAAACCAGGTAACAGTAAAGGTTCTTCCCTTTAAAAGTTTGAGAATTACTCCATTTTTGCTTCACAACACTACAGGCTTAAAAGAAAATCATGCCCTCCTCTTCCCATCCCTCTCATGCCCTGATCCCAACTCAACCAGTGAATCCCCTGCAGTCAGATAGCAGGTCTGACATCCTTGTCATTAGTGCCTGGATAGTGCCTTGCCTTCTTCCATTCTTTCTACCCTCATTTCCTTGGCACCATGGCAGTACCCTTTCCAGAAGGATGCTTTTGTTTCCCTGATGATTCATAACCMTAGCATAATCCTTGGGTGGGTGGTATATGTTCTGCTTTGGTGCTGAATAATTCCTTTCATCAAGTCGTTCCTTATAGAGCCAGAAGAGAGCCTTTTTGAAGGRTAAGGTGAGTTCTTGTGTCTGTTTTCTAGCCCCTGAATGGGGAAGATGTGATTGTGGCTGCCTGCCAGACCACAGACCAGAGAATATTTGGTTGCCAGGACTCCTTGTGCTCCACTTTATTTACTTATTTCCAAGTGACCTTTATGTAATTTGTTTATTTTTAATAGGTTCAGATTTTCTTTAAGACCTTCTCTCTCCTTGTGCATTTGATTATTGGCTGGTACCTGGCAGCAAACAACTTCTGAGAAGATAGCTTGCAGAAGCTGTAGTTTGGGAGCAGTTTGAAGTAGGCAGTACACAACACCCAGCATCACAGGGCCTAGCTCCAGTGCTGTGAAGGGCCATCCCTCTGCAGGTTTGCACAGGAGGGGATTAAGTCCCTTAAGCAGAATGTCACCATAATACAGGAAGACAKGGGGACTATTTTGAGGGCATTGTGTCAAAATAACATCTTGAGGGTACTGAGGATKGATTGAAGAGATTTGATCTCTCATCCACACACAAACAGTCACACAAGAAAACAAGTGGATAGAAAGTTCACAAGGAACAGTCCTTGTGRATAAGGGATATTTTTAAGAGTAATATATTTGGAATTTGTTTGCCTGCTAAGTATTTTTTTCCTGTTTAGTGAGAGTGATGTTTTGTTGCTGTTTAAACTTTATGTAGCTCTAAATGTAGCTTCGTTGCATTTTKACTAGGATGGTTCCAACTCTCTCTTTGTTTCACAGCTCTCCCAATCTCAGTCTCACTGAAAGTGCTGCCAAGGAGTCAGAGGTAGGAGCTGAGGCAGGTCCATATAGATGGGTGTTAAGCTGAACAAATCTTACGCTTTTTATGGGACTGAGAACATTTTGTCAAATGTGGCATTTCAAGTGTGAGTAATGGGGAACTTCCCTRGAGAGTCTGAGGGTGAAAAAAGAAGACAAAAATGAAAAGTTTTCCTCAACAGGCACTGTCAAGTTGTCAGGCTTGACTAYCTGTTAAACTAGCTTGTTTTTTCAGGAGCKGTAGCAATRCTGGTGAGCTGGCTTGATGGAGGCTGATCTAATGCTAAATTGCATGTGCTTTTCTTGCAGCTGTGGAACTGGTGAAACCAAGTGGTGTTATTTTAATGATGCTGTTGCTTTGTGTCCGAGCACAAACTGATGGTCGCAATTGATGAGTTCTGTTGTTGTCATCTTCTTCCTGAGACAGAAGAAAGCCCTGTCATTAYTGAGAAATTGAGACAAATACGCTGCCTGCTTAAAAATACTCCTTCCTATTATCTAATTTTTAAAAATCTTCAGAATACAATAATAGCATTAAAACATTACTGAAGAAAATGTGCTGATTTTAAAATGCTGTGAAGAATTGGAATTTTTTTTCACTTTTGAAAATACTAGAAGGTATTACTAGGAAAAGTTTTGTGTTTGTAGAGCAGGAGTKTGTTGGGGCTTAACTGCAGTTCCCTTGTAACTGATTTGGGTCAGAGAAAGAGGAATATGTTTATTTTTGGCACAGGTAAATGCTATGTGTATTTTGCTGGGAAAAAAAAAAAACCATTTTTTAAATTTAAAAGCACACCTCCACTTTCCACAGTAATTCTCTTATGTTAATTCAAGATTAAGATACTCTTTCACTTAAATTTCTATGAGCCTGTCAGTGCAGTGCACTCRAAAATGTTGGGGGGGAGCGGGGAGAAAAAGGAGATGAGGGAAAGTGGAATATCTGGAACTTGGTCTTCCATGATTTATGCAAACTGTAAAGTAATGTTAATTTTTTCCCAAGCCTTGAAACTGTACTTGACAGTGGAATTGTGACTTTGCTTTTAATATTTTTCCTTTGTTTATTTTTTATTCTCTCCAGGAAGTGATTCGAGTAATCCTTGGAAATCTTGATGATTTACATCCATTTTCTACAGACCACTTCACTGTCTTTCCATGTATCCTTTCTTTCYTACTCAGGAAAGATTCAATGACAAAGTTGGGCATTGCCTAATTCAACATTTATATGTTGGAGTGTGCAGATCTTTAGCTGGATTAAGACTACTTTGATCTTTGCAGTTTGACATTGGCTGAAGGTATTCTGACCACCTCCTCAGATGTTGCCTTCACCAGAGAACTGGATGTGACAAGAGTGTTCTGCTGTGTTTTCATCCAAATGCCCCTGCATTCCAAGTTAGGTGTARCCAGAGCAAATGAAGGTGTATATAAAGTGCCAGGAAACCCACCTCATGGGCTTGCAAGCACAGCCAGTCCATTGTTCCCAAAAGTTCATAGAATGTAAAACCCTCCTTACAGGCTCAGCAATGTTGGCCCGTGGGTAGGGAAGCTCACAGTGCTGTTCTTACAAGGTCCCTCAGGGTTAAACCACCATGAGCCTTTGGGGATGGAGGGTGGCAACAAGTGTGAGTCTCTGCTCATGTCTCCACAGAGATGGCTGAGAGAAGCAAAAAGCACCTCTCAGAGTGAGCTTTGCAAGGAGCAGTAGCTGAGCTCRGATAATTGGAAGTCTAGAGAGGCTTTTGAACACACAAAGCCTGCAGGAGTGTCATCCAGTTATCCTGGTCCCCTCTTCAGTGTACCTCTTTGAAGCCTAGAAACAAAAAAGCAAATGTCATCCACACAGTATTCACCTTACTGTGCTCATCCCCCTCACTCCTGTGGGATTAGTTAGCAGATCTTTCCCATCTTCCCTAAAGTTTGCAGAGTCATTGAGCTGCTGTCAATCTGGCCTGCTGGTCCCCAGCAGGCTGTAAAAGCTCTGAGCAGTTGCATAGCATATTTGTATAGAAGCTGRTACTTGAATATGGGCATGCACAGGTTTTGAGGAGTGTAGTTTCCTGGGGTTRTACTTTTGATGTTTGTGTAAGTGCTGAGACATTTGAGATTGGATTATTCTAGCTAGCTGTACTACAGGCTCCTCCACTTTCTAGSTGTTTTTTCATAAGAATGTGTCAAGACTGGCCTTCATTTTTTTTTCTGCCTTATGCAATTGGACAGAATTTAGCTGTGTCTACTACATATTCTGCAGATTAATAATTTAAATCAACAATAATTTGGTTTAAGAAATTGTAACTGTTATATTTCTGTTGTAGTTACTGTAGTGTAATGTGTTAAGAAGAAGTTACTCTTCTGAGGCTCTTCGTTCAAGAGAAAAGTAACTCAGTTAAATGATAGGGTTTTCCAGTCCTAAAGATGTGTTAACTTTTGGATCAGATCTAACATCACCTCCTGTGATTCTGAGTTCCCAAGAATAATGAACATTCCCTTCCGTCTTGGAAGACTGCATAATTCCTCCTAATAGCAGGAAAAAATGAGGCCATCCTCCTTCTCTGTCCAAAGCAGGTTCATACAAAAGCAGCTTATTCCTGTTACTGTCAAGARGAGAAAGTAGCCAAGAGGATCATTACACAGGAGACACCCAAGCCAACCAGTTTACTGGTTTGCTTCTCTAAAGCACAGCCAGTTTTGCCTGTGTGTTGAGGAGTGTTTGATTCACAGACTTGTATTTCTAGAACTTGTAAGTCCATCCAGATGCTCAGCCAGCACTTGGCCTGGCAGAGAACTGTGAGCTCAGAGGCCTGGCATGGGGARTTGTCTTGCAGTTAGTGTGTCAGGTTTCTCTCTGTATAGGGACTCTTTATTAATCACTAGCTATGAGTCCTTCAAGCCAAAATCAGGCRATTTCATTCCTTAAAGGAACTGATTGTATCAWTGTTTCATCATCTTCTGTCCCTGGCATGTTAGTTTCCACAAGCAAATGTGGACTTACATTATTCATTTCACCCGTTTCTCCCTGAGATCAGAGCTGTGTAAGGAGACTTATGTTCAGGACCATTTGCTCTTCCAAGCATGAGCTCCTGGTTGTAAGAGCTGCACCCACATGAAGGAATGGCTGTGACTGTGATGGTTGTCATGTCAATTATCTTTTTTCCCCCATTTTGAACTGTGAAGTAAATTAAATGATGCTTCTATGAATCCCAATCTTTTCCAATTTTTAATTAAAATTTTAAAATAATTCCTTTTTACTTAGGGAAACTGCTGATGGGCTTTTTATTCACAGGTTTGGAARAGCCTGGCATTTTTTTTGCAGGAGGGTGTCAGGACTGAAGGCAAACTGAGTTAAGGGAACAGAACACTTAATACAGGTGACTGATGGGGCAGTGTCATCTGGATAAGTGCTTCCTGTATGTATTACTGGTACAGTTTCACAAGTTCATAGTRACAGGTTGTATTTGCTCCCTTGTGCACATGTGCAGTGTGCTGTGACTTTTGAAGCTTTAGAAGACATTGWCAGGTAGGACTCATACTCCTTTGAAATGTTAGCACTGTGTTATTAAGTCTTACMATTCTTCTCAGATTTGAGTAAATGGGAGCGAATATCAAAGATGAAATTCAAACATGAGAATGTCCATCTTGTGCCTTATCCCTACATTTGCACATTGTATCTAGAATTGAACTCCTTTCAGCAAAACATACCTTGTGGTAAGTCACTGGTTATGTTTGGGTAATTTCTGGAAATATCTGTGATCTATGTCTTGCTTTTCTCTTCTCCTTCACCTACTGTATCTTTGAATCAGAGAGAACAAAACTGCATGTGGCATGACTGTACCATGAGTTTGAAATAGAGCGTAACAGAGTGTTCTTTATTGTCTCATATTTATTTTCTAAAATTCCCTGATTTTCCCTTTGTCTTTCCAACCACTGCTGACAATTCAGTTGGTATTTTTGTGAAGCAGTGCCCAATGGCTCCCAGCCATGGAGCCATTTTAATGTCAGTCATTGGGCTGGAGCCAGTACGTACATGTATATGAAACACATGGTTTTCTTCTGTGATCTTGCCTACATTTGTTGACATTGAAYATCACACTCTTTGTTTGGTATTTTGCTARAGAAAGAATGGATTAAAAAAAATGCATGGTAGAAATCATGGGGCAGGGTAGAAATCAATCACCAAATWTACACCTTTTTTGTAATTAGTAAACTTTTTCACCTCAATAGTGTCTCATTTTCCAGGTTTTCTRTGAATTCTCTGAACAGCCTCAGGCCACAGCTAAGGCCTCTGTGGGACTCTGTGTGGGATTCTACATTTATACTCCCCTGCTGTGAAAACTGAATATTCTTAMTATTTGCTATTTTGATTATCAGGCTCTGAAAAAAGTTGCTGGGTTTTTTTATGACTSCTTAGCAGATAATGTGATCTTTATAAAATGGCCARCTAGTAATTTCTTAGTCTTGCCCATTTGCATTCCCTGTCAAACATACCATGTTTGGATGTAAAAACTTCTAACCACAGGGAGTACACTCACTTCCCTATGCACCTGCTCCAGTATTTAATTGCCCTCTCCAGACAGTTGTACAGCATTGCTAATCTAAAATTATAGACCGTGTAAGGCACTTAGACTTTCAGACTTGATGCCTCAAATTTCTCTTGGTGGGGATTTTTCTTCAGGGACATATGTGTGAATCCCATATGTCCTATAGCTGGCCAGTATTCTCTAGAGGCTGTATTCCAGGTTTCCTTGTATCTGCCATCTGGTGCCCAAAGCATAGTGAGATGCTAACTGTTAGTCAGGCCTTTCTCTTCTGAAGACATCTTTGATCTTATCAAGACAAGCAATTGTCCCATCYCATCGATATCTGGTGTTCAGGAATTATTGTTCAGAAAGAGTTGTATTTGACAGTTTTCTGTTTCAGCATATCATATGCAGGTGCAGACTCTTACAAGTTTCTCTTGTTCATGGAAGATGAAGTGCAGTGCAAAAATGTACTTTTGAGTTGGTTAAAGAAAGTCCAGTGTAAATATTTACCAAGTTTTATATCTCTGTTACAGGTAAAGAAGTAAACAAGAGCAGTGATGAGCTTGTAAGTTGTGCATTTGGTTTTGATGTTTAATTTATATTCTAAGTATTCTTGAGGAGCAGAATGTAGGTATTTTGGCAGTGCTACTACTATGCTGCTATTTAGTTCTCCTACGTCTAGGAGTTTTAGTCAGTCAGTGTAAAGTGGCACTGAATTCTCACCTAAAACCATCCAAGGGGAGAGAAGTTCTCCTGGCAGTTCCAGTGGGCTTGGAATGCAGTCCTCTATCAGGACCTGAGAGCCTGCTGTCTTCCGTTCTGTGGATGTCCTGCAAGCCTGACTGAGTGAGCTGTCCAGTGGTTTCTTCACTGGAAGAGTCTGTGAAGTTGATACTGCTAGTAATTAAGTAATTCCCTAGGTACTGTATATATCATAAACAGCAAAGTTAAGCTTATTTGGAAGTTTTTGTGTAATGAGAGCTCAGGGTAGGTTTATTTTCAATATGGGTAGGTGTCTGAAGATGGAGTGAATTAATGAAGAATAATTCAAATCCAAATTCCCCCAAAGAACTTTTCTGTGTCTGCATTCCTGCTACTTACATTCCTTGGCAGTCCTCTGAAAATGGAGCCTATAGAATGTCCTATAAAAAAAATATTTAGTTTAAAACAGTTGAGCATAATTCTCTGGCTGACCTCCCAGTGCTTATTTTAGTCCTAAATCCCTTTTTTGGTTTTCAGTGTATGAGCAGGAACAWTTTTTGCAGAATATGAATGTATATTAACTATGAACCTAATTCTAAAATAGAAAAGTCAAAATAAATTGTTATCAATATAAAATTTGCCATGTACTGAAGGTCAGGAGGAGAAATGGAATGTCAGAAAGTATGGCAGTGGAACAAGCAGTGAAGAGGAGGAGAATGGAAGTCAGAGCTGAGACTTCATGCCCACAATCATGTATGGACAGGTCAGTTGCCTCCAAAAGAGCCTCTCAGGACATGTATTAGTATTTTTAATGTTGTTTGTACCTTCCTCATGTTTCATTTCTGTGCAATCCTTTGTCCCATTTTTCTTCTTTCTCTTCCATAGGTTACATAATCTAAGCATCACTGCTCATACTGGGAAAAAAGGGGTCCTGTACTATCCAAGTTCCTAAAACATTGACCAGAGCTCTGTCCTGTTTAACTCCTCTGTGTTCACATGACCTTTTCAGTCACAGTGAAGTGACAGTTCAGCAGCCAGACAGAACAGTGCTCTGGCTYACACACCTGAGCCTGGGACAGCAAGGGAAGAACTGGAACCAGTTTACCACCTGCCTCCCAGCCTGCTCTGTTGAGCCAGCTGACGAATGTTGCCCTCTTGGCTTGAGTCTGATCACAAAATTCATTGGAACTTGCTCTTTTCCAAGTTCTTGAAAGGTCTTATGAAATTGGACTTGTGTGTACACATGAGTATTCTCAMACTACTTCACAGTTTGTTTCTTTGGTAGCTAAACTTCTCTTGGAGATTCTTAAGCAGACCTATCTCTGGATTTCACAGAATGGTTGAGGTTGGACAGGTCCTTTGATATCATCAAATTCAATCCATCCTACTCAAGCAGGGTCACCCAAAGCAAGTTCCCTTAGGTCTTGAGTRGACTCTGAGGGTGGAACAGTCACAACTGTGGAGTTGCAGTGSATGACCACAGCTCTAGTCAAAAAGCTTTTCCTTGTGTTTGAATTTAATTTCATGTTTTGCAGTTTGTGCCCTTGGCCTCTTGTCCTGACATAAGACAAGAAGGTTCAGAAAAGCCTGGCTCCCTGTTCTTCATTCCCTCCCATCAGGTGTATGTTGATAAGATCCCACCCAAGTCTTCTCCAGGCTGAACAGCCGCATCACTCAAAGTCTCTCCACTTAGAAAAAGTTCCCCRATCCCATCATCATGTTTGCATCATGGTCCTTTTCTGGGCTCACCCCAGTGAGTCCCAGTCATGTACTGGGCGTCCAGTCCAGWCAGGGCACACAGCGGGGCCTCAGCAGCCTTGAGCAGAGGGGASAGATCACTGCTTGGGGGCAGTGATTTGGCAGAACTCTGCCTAGTTCAGCTCAGGGTGTTGCTGGGCASCTTCAGCATGAGGGTACAGGGCTGCCTTATGGCTACCCTTGGGCTAAATTCTTGAGTATCTCTCTGAGACCCAGTGTTAGTCACAGGCTGGCAGGCTTCTCTCTTTATAGGGTGTGTGTTTTTTTCTCAGTATGTGGCAAACAGTTCTAGATGTGTCAGTGGTTGGAAGTATTTATGTGTACCTTTCCTCTCCAGGTACAGACCATATCCAATCCAACTCAATAAGGCAACCTTTTGCCTTACATCCTGCCCGATTCCSAAATGTGTTTGATGCACAGATATTAACAAAGTCTGAAGGCAGTTCTTTTCCTGCTCATACATACATAAATGTAGTCCTTTAATCCCACCCCCATCCCGCTGGCCTATTTCTAGTCATGGTACAACTGTTGGAAATGAGGGAGGATGAGCCCAAGATTCAGAATGCCTTTTGATTTCTTTTGGCCAAGACACAAGTTGTAGATTAATAAAATACAAGGTCAAAAAAGGCTATGATCCAGTCTGGCAGTTCTCTCTAGGTCCTGTATCTTGCTGCAGCAGTTATGATAGAGCAATTTGTAATTCTTAAGTGTATGCTTGAGTTCAAAATCAAATTGGTGAGCACTTGCTTCAAGCCTTCTGTCATTTTTTTTAGTTACACTGTTAGACTGAAGAGATCATTCAGGCTGAATATCTTCCCTGCCCCAGGAATGTGTCTGCTGTAGTAAGACCAGTCTTTTGTCTTCTTTCTGGACAAGCTCTTTTGCTCCTTAATTCTCTTGGGGAATTGGGGTTTTCTTGGGGTGCAACTGAGTGTTGAGAAATCAGAATCTCCAAGTGACCTTCCCAGTGATACTGATCACCTCAAGGAAAGCTGGGATTGTTTTTCTCCACATGCATCCCTTCATACTTCCCCATACAGTTTCCTCTGCCATTTTAATGCTCCATGACCAAGTCTTACAAGACCTTTCTGTGGTTCTTTGCTAGCTGCCCCTGTACCTTGTAGGATTCACAAACTTTCTCAGCTACCTGCTCATCCCAACTTTCTCTCTTTAACTGYTTGTTTGTCTTAGCAGAAAAGCAGAATGATTGCATATTTTCATTTTTTAAGGAAGACTGAAACATGAGTACAAATACAGATTAAAGTGATATACCTTACTGAGTAGAGATACTAAAGTCCTGGTTTCTAGTGAATTACTTGGAGTAACAGTTTACAAGATTSCTTCTTTTTTTTGACTTCTTGTAAAGTCAGTTTTTACTTACTTATCTTTAGGACTGAAGCTGAGTCTGTTCACCAGATGAGTAAAGCAAAGCATGGATTTGAAAAGGTAAGCTACRTATTATTCAAAAAGAGAAAATGACACTTGTTTAGTCCTGGACCCTTACAATGGCAAGTATAAAAATACCTGCAAGTAATTTGTCCCCGTTTTTCCCTGCATCACCCTCATAATTTTTGACATTTCTGACTCCTTACCAGACTTAGCAAAAGGATGAGTTATTTTTTTTGAGACAACGTAAGCTTTTCTGACTATCAAGCTAKGAGCTTGGGGGTAAGCTCAGCCTCTTGAGAGCTGAGCCTGAGGAATGTCTTGCCTTTTCTCCAGGACTCCAGTCCTCTGTCATTTCAGATGCCCCTTTATGCAGAACTCCATGAAAAGCCAACAGTGGGTGCTGGCATCTTGACACTGGCTTTTCTGTGACCATGTGCCTCTCTGCACCAGTGTCCTTCTCTCTGCTGATGGCCATGCAGGCATCACTGTGTTCCTGAAACAGTGCCATGACGTTTCTCACTATGGCATGGCACCAGAAGACAGATTCACAACAGGATTTTTCCAGAGGGATTGGTCGTTGCTCTCTAAAGCCACTGTTCTCCAAAGACCTTGTTAGGAGGAGAAGATTTTTTCTCTTTTAGCCCACAGGCTCCAAGGCTGCTCTGATAGAACTGCTCTTAAGCATAYCCTAATGCCTGTGTCCTCCTGTCTGCTGCACATCCTCCTAAATATRCTTCATCCATTTTCTGGATAGCCATCCTAAATTTAGTTCAAATCCCTGCCACACTGTCACCTTTCTGGCCTTTTTCCCTTCTCTAACTCTTTGGAAGAGTGTCTTTTCCAAGGAGGCAAACACATTTCTCTTGGGTTTGCCCACAAAGGAAGCCCAAAACTTTCATTCAGAACGGGGGTTTTTGATAGGTTTGTTGGATTTTCAGGATAGGAGGAAGACTGCCTGCTAACTCCTTGGGAGCATTCAGTAAAGAATAGCTTCTCTAAAACAAGCAGGTTTCTTTGTTTCTAAAACATGCATCCCTTTTTTCCTTCCACCTCTGCTTACCTTTGCAGTATCAGTGACGGGTCTCTACACATGCCCTCTCTGGCTTCTTTCCTCAGGTACTCAGACACTCTGTTGGTGAGAYAAGGGTCATCTTCTGAAAGATGCTTTTTTTATTCCCACTTTTCTATAATCAGTGTTTCCAGAATTCCTCTGTTGCTGGCATAGTTTTCAAGGCATTAGTCCTTGAAAGCTGGAGCTCCAGGTTAGCACGTTGGACCCTGAGAATATGGCAGGTGACAGASATCACTGTAAGTTCCTCTTGTGCTAACTAATGTGGGAAGGCACATCTTGAGCACTTTCCAGTTAAACTGGAGCCTGTGATGCAAAAATCAACTYAGCAAATACCACCTTGGGCGAGAAGAACCTTCTCCAGAATAGATGTTCATRCCATCATGACTTGTCCTTGAAATAGCACTAGTTAAGGCACTGTTACACTGAGAGGGTTGTCCGGACACAAAGTCTTCTGTTGATGAACACCAGATCAAGTGTCACGAGTACTGTGTGAAATCATGGGCAGAAGTCCTTTTCCTAACATACATTTTTAGAATATGGCAGCCAAGTACTTTTGTGTCATGCTTTCCATTTGGATTTTGTTTGGGTTTGGATTTTTTTTTTATTCGGGATGAAAAGAAAGATTAGGTTTAGGATAAAAACATGTCAATATCTCCTGTACTTTGTTGGAGTTTATCTGGTTGTTCTTCCAAGGCTCTTTGCTCAATTTATCAGCAGTATATGGGTTTGTTTTCAAATCCACCAGGTATTTTATAATGCTTCTTAAGAAGGGAAGGGTCTCATTAAACAGGAAGGAAATCTGTCTATATAGTACATGTGGGATTGACTTTGGGACACTGGCACTGTATTTGGAATGAGGAGCATAGAAGTGCCACAGGCACATGATTGTTCAATGGATTGCATTTYCAGCTGTCACCCAAATGTCTCTCAGGCCTGTGATGGTGGCATGTGATCAGGRTGAATGTGGTCAAACCTGCCTGYCTTTCTACTTACACAGTGCACCAGTGAAAGTCAAAGAAAGATGCTCAACCTGTCACTCCAGAGAATTTTCCTAGCTTAGTTAATGCTCTCAGATCTCAGGCCATCAAAGGTTTGGAATTTTGTGTTAACATGAGTTTTGATGTGGCATT